CAGAGTCCTGGAAGGAACCTCCTGCTCCCACCCCTTCAGGTGTTCCCACCACGGCTCCACACCTGCAGATTCAGCTGACCACCAATGGAAAATACTTGGGGGGAAAAACTCCAGAAAGTTCCAAAAAGCAAATCTTAAATTTGCCAAGTGTTGGCATCTATTTACATAGCATGTACATTGTCTTAGGTAATACAGGTCATCCAGAGATGATTTCACATGTGTGGAAGGATACGCGTGTACCACACTTTTTATATACGTGGCTTGAGCATCCGGGAATTTTGGTATCCGTGGGGGTCCTGGAACCTGTTCCCCACAGATACCAAGGGATGACTGTTTATGACTTTCTTCTCTTCTTTCATATTATTATTTCCTTAGGATAAATTTCTAGGAGTAACATTACCAATCCAAAGGAGTAACAGTTTGTCTCTCACTATATAGTAATCATCTGATTTCCCAAAAGGTTTTGCCAGTTTATGCCAACAGTAATATTTGAATGTGCCAGACCCACATTTTTATCAATATTAAGTATTAGCCTAATTGTTTTTCTAATTTAGTAGGTAGAAAGTATATTTTACAACTTGGAGGCTTACATAGTATTTGACCATTTTTCCTAATTTTTTTTGCTAAGCATACTCTGTCCATTTATCTGTGGGGACTTGACGTTGCTTTTTTATCTGGTCGACCTCTCCCCAGAGCAGTGGATTCAGTGCAAATAGCTTTTCTCATTCAAATGAAATGTTTATTTTTTATTCAATAGACATTTTACGGTTTTAGGTAGCTGAACCTGTCACCATGTTCCTCTGTCCTTTCTTTGTAAAAGAAACCTTTAAAATGTTGAAAATTATCAATATTTTAAATACCAGGGAGGCAGTATGACGTGACTGCACACAGCCTTGACCTTACGGAGAGCAGGTTGAAAAGTGCTCGGGAGCGAAGCTGCAGCAGAAATGCCAGGACCAGCGCTGGGCACGCAGTCGCACGCTGCGCGCCTTTAATGGGATAATTGTCTGGCCTCCCTCTTGTCCTGCCATAGGTCTCTCCACAGTTTCTTTTGTGCTTACGAGGGAGCTCTTTCCTAGGAGCTGCTGGCACAGGATGCAGGAGGCTGACTCAAAGCAGAACGGGAACTTTCTCTAAGACCCAGCTGCGCTGGATCTATTTTGAGCGCTGATCGGTTTAGCGGGCATCACCGCGAGATCATCACCTTTGTGTGTAATTTTTCCATTCCATGTTAACGACAGAAAAGTGAAATATTTTAATACACTGGCAGAATTCTGTCATGGGGCCAGTGCGCCCTAGGAAGCATTTTCTTCTCTGCCTGTAAGACACGTCCACACGAACGTGGAGCAATTAAAAAGCGTAATTGCCATAGAACTACTTAGTATCTATCACTGGTTCCACCTGCATGTAGGATGGGTCCCGCCAAGTTCCACCTCCACCAAAGGAATGTCACGTGGATTCTGAGAATACCCACTGTAGGACTGATACCTTTTAGAAATGCACTTTTTTTTTCTTCTTCTTGGAATTATGTTCCTATTTCAGATCTGCATGATTTATTTGTTAAAATATTTAACAGTGGAATTTGACACAACATTGTAAAATGATTATAAATCAATAAAAAATGTTAAAAAAATATTTAACAGTATTTCACATTCTCTTTCAGTCTTCACAGAAAAATACTGCACTGCTAATCACGTGGACAAACTTCCTGGCCCGAGAGACTGGGTACAGATTCTACAGGATCAAATCAAACTGGCTAGAAGAAGGTTAAAAAGAGGCTCAGGTATGAATAAGCCACAAGAAAACAACCGCAGAAGCTCTTTATTGAATTGTTAGATGACGCAAAAATATGATCCTTTGCTTAGGGTACTTCATTGTCTTTTGCCTTTTGAAGGAGAAGCTTTATGTAATGGGCTTTTGGTTTTGTATTTTAAAATCTTATTCAGATGATTCTGAAATTCACCTGAAGATTACATAGTGAAAATTATGTCAGGCTATTCACTTTTAATAGTGCCAGTGAAAAAGATGGCTGATCTCACCGGTGGTCGTATTGTATGAAACGAGCTCTCTCTTTTTGATTTGTTTCTGTTGCCTATTGATTTTTATTTGTTTGGATCTGCATGACTTTATAAAAAGTATGAGTTACTTAAGGTTAAAAAAAAGCAGTAAACATCCTACCTTTCATGAGCTAGAAAGGGGTTTTATGTCAAATATTGATTTATTTACTTAAAAAAATACGGGCTTGGCAGTTCTGGGATACTTCTTCTAGGAGAAGTGGACACCAGTTGAATTATGACTATTTAGACTTGGTTATTTGAACTTCCAGCCTCCCCAGAGTGACAGGGAGACAATTTACCAGTGAAGAATCCCTGAGGTCAGTTTTTTGCCAAGATGTAGGAATAATCATTTCCAGGAGGCCACAAGCGTCTGGATATTATTTAAAAACAAAACAAAACAGAAAACAATTCCCAATCAAACCTCAGGACACCTGGCCTGCTGAGAGCCTTCCGTGCTTCTGTGGCTGTGGTGTGAGAGTTTGGGAGACGGATTTCAGATGCTAGATGATCACACTTTGGGGTGCTGTGGAGGTCCGGAGGTCCGTGAGAACCGTGGCACAAACGCGTGAGACTGTCTGTAACCGCCTCTGACTTGACCTCTCACTGTCAGTAGTAGTAACCGTGACCAAGCCTGGGGAGGAGCTCAGCCACCCACCCCGGGGACGACAGCTCCCGGCTCAAGTGGGAGCTCCCTCGACTCGACTAGACACAGGGCACCAAGGGACCAAGTGGTTTCTCAGTGTGAAAACCCTTATAATTCCATAAATGCAGCTAGCAGAATCTAAACTATCCAACTAGGTGGAGATTTCGTTTTTAATTAAAAATCATCCCTTCAACAGATTAAAAAGGAATAATTTCTTTTGTATAGCACAGGGAACTACGTTCAGTATCTTGTAATAACCTTTAATGAAAAAAGTATGAAAACAAATACATGTATGTACATGCATGACTGGGACATTGTGCCAGACACCAGAAATTGACACATTGTAACTGACTATACTTCAGTTTAAAAAAAAGATACATAAAAAGGATCTTCCCTTCTTTTTTCAGCCTTTTGACTTACTTTTCACTTAATTGAGATACTCTTTTAGTAAAGAATAATGGACTGCTAGTATTTTTAATTGGTCCAAAAACTGGATGATTGCATTAGGTGGGAAGGCACATGGCATCAGTAGATCTGGTTTTCAGGGTTTGTGTCTGCTCTAGACCTTCGACATTTCTCTCAGTCCTTCTAATCCTCAGGTCCCTATCATGGCGTGGACATAAAAATAAAGCCTGCCTCGGAGTTGTCCTGAGGCTCCAGACGTGTGCGGTACACAGGTGTCCGCATCGGGGAAGCTAGTGTACCTCTCTGAAGATGTCTGTGTGCACACAGCCGTGCTGGCGGCGTGCAGGTCACTGAGGTGGCCTCAGTGTCCTCGGTCAGGGGACCGGCCAGCTTGCTGCACCTGGGTGCTGTGATCAGTAATGCCCCTTTTGCTGCCAGAGGCTTTCAGGTTTGGATAAGTCATTATTATCCAAGGATAATGGATAAAGCCGAGGGGAGGCTCACCCCTCCTCGGCTCCCCAGTTCTCACTGTCATCTGCTCCCGCGTCTCTAAGTCATCACCGATAAACTCCGTGTGGGACAGTGGAGAGAACAGGTCTGCCTTCCTGGCCCTGATCTATCATTTACAGTTTCTTGGGAACTTGGACAAATTCCTCACCCTCTCTGAGCCTCAGGTTCTCCCTT